TTAAAAATGTCTGCGGACCTTTACTGGTTGATGATTTTCTTTGTTGGATTTATTTCATCCTGTTTTTATGTTCTTTATTTTTTTCCCTTTATTTTGCAGCTATGCAGCGCAGGAGATTTAAACCTGTTGTGTCTATATGTCAACTTGCTGATAACAAAGAGCCAAAACGCACAATTTTAAGTTGGGTCAACAAACCTTCTTAATCCATCAGCTTTAGGGATATTTTATTGGACGAGATAAAAACATCCTTTAGAAATCGGTCAGGTCAGTGACACCAAAGCAAGAACCTGCAGAAAGTCTGAAGAACATGAACCACTGATCAGCTAAAGATAAGTGTGCATAATTGTGCACATTAATTATGTTTTTGATAAAAAATCCTTTTGGTTCAGCAACACTGATGCATCAGAGGCATGTGTGCAGCTCTAACAGCAAAACCATGCGTCCGTGCGCGTAAGTCATGTGACCGATACAGGAGATGTGTCGAACTGACTGATGCACTGAACTGTGTTTATCTTTTGCATTTTATCATCAAACTAATCAAGAAAAACGGATCAGCCTCATGAGAAAAAGATAGATTTTAGGGTCCATAGCGGGATCATTCTGAGCTCGTATTTGAATACATTTTCTTGTTTTGTCATCCTGATCCTCTCAGTTAAAATTCAACTTATCCGGATTCACATCGACTCTTAGTTTGCTGTAGTTATCATTTTAAATGCTCACAATTTTCCTGTTATCTGTTCAAACTTATGGATCGTCTAAAAATCTAAAAATATCGAACATATTTTCAATTTAAATGAAAATATGAAATATACATTAAAGCAAACAATGGGTTTAAATATGATTTTAATACAGCTCATCAAATCGGTGTCCATTTTTAATGTCCAGCAGGTGACAATATGACACAGTATCAGCAAGTATCAATACAGTTTGCCAATGTGTTGAAATCCTTTGGCTAAAATGCCATCAGAACGCTGATAATATTAAGTGTGTCTCAGCCCCCCCCCCTTCAGTGTCCACCATATTGGATCAGTCCATTTGCTGCACATGTTCAGAAAGGTCCAACCAGACAGCAGCAAACCATTTGAAAACAAACCATGCAAAGAGCAGTGTTGCCAACTTAGCGCTTTAGTCGCTATATTTAGCCACTTTTCAGACCCCTCTAGCACTTTGATTTCTAAAAAGCTCCTAGCGCCAAATCTAGAGACTTTTTTCTGCTACTGGAGACTTTGGAGACAACATCTAAAAGCAGCGAACTCTGCTCTCCAGAGCCAGTAGATTGGTAACCCCGCCTCCTGCTCTCCTCTATCTTGTCTGCTGTCATGATTCATGCAGCTATTATTTCATCCAAATGAAAAATGGAGAACAGATAAGCAGATCATGGCTTGTCTACAGTGAAAAGAAGGACTGGGTTATTTACTTTGGCCTTTTTGGAAACACAGGAAGGAGCAATCAGCTAAGTGAGCTTAGTGCTTGGAAAAAATCTTTCATTCCTTTAGAGACAGCATGAAAAGTCAGCTGAGTACAAAACATAGAGAGGAAAACAAGAAGAAAAGGGACAAGAAGAGAGGGACACAACCTAGAACAGATCACGGATGTCTATTCTATTAACATTTCTATATCTGGAGAATAGTTGTGTTTGATGTGTTGTCTCCTCCATTCAGAGGGGCCCCTGCCTGTCTTTGCATAGGGCCCCACATTTCCTAAATCCGCCCCTGAATGGATGATCAGTTCAGGATGAATCCTGATCAATAACAGAAACCCTCACTAACAGAAACCCTCAATAACAGAAACCCTCACTAACAGAAACCCTCACTAACAGAAACCCTCACTAACAGAAACCCTCACTAACAGAAACCCTCACTAACAGAGACCCTCAATAACAGAGACCCTGAATAACAGAGACCCTCAATAACAGAGACCCTCACTAACAGAGACCCTCACTAACAGAGACCCTCAATAACAGAAACCCTCACTAACAGAAACCCTCACTAACAGAAACCCTCACTAACAGAAACCCTCAATAACAGAGACCCTCAATAACAGAGACCCTCAATAACAGAGACCCTCAATAACAGAGACCCTCAATAACAGAGACCCTCAATAACAGAGACCCTCAATAACAGAGACCCTCACTAACAGAAACCCTCACTAACAGAAACCCTCACTAACAGAAACCCTCAATAACAGAGACCCTCAATAACAGAGACCCTCAATAACAGAGACTCTCAATAACAGAGACCCTCAATAACAGAAACCCTCACTAACAGAAACCCTCACTAACAGAGACCCTCAATAACAGAGACCCTCAATAACAGAGACCCTGAATAACAGAGACCCTCAATAACAGAGACCCTCACTAACAGAAACCCTCACTAACAGAAACCCTCACTAACAGAGACCCTCACTAACAGAGACCCTCAATAACAGAGACCCTGAATAACAGAGACCCTCAATAACAGAGACCCTCACTAACAGAAACCCTCACTAACAGAAACCCTCACTAACAGAAACCCTCACTAACAGAAACCCTCACTAACAGAAACCCTCACTAACAGAAACCCTCAATAACAGAGACCCTCAATAACAGAGACCCTCAATAACAGAGACTCTCAATAACAGAGACCCTCAATAACAGAAACCCTCACTAACAGAAACCCTCACTAACAGAGACCCTCAATAACAGAGACCCTCAATAACAGAGACCCTGAATAACAGAGACCCTCAATAACAGAGACCCTCACTAACAGAAACCCTCACTAACAGAAACCCTCACTAACAGAGACCCTCACTAACAGAGACCCTCAATAACAGAGACCCTGAATAACAGAGACCCTCAATAACAGAGACCCTCACTAACAGAAACCCTCACTAACAGAAACCCTCACTAACAGAAACCCTCACTAACAGAAACCCTCACTAACAGAGACCCTCAATAACAGAGACCCTCAATAACAGAGACCCTGAATAACAGAGACCCTCAATAACAGAAACCCTCACTAACAGAAACCCTCACTAACAGAAACCCTCACTAACAGAAACCCTCACTAACAGAGACCCTCAATAACAGAGACCCTGAATAACAGAGACCCTCAATAACAGAGACCCTCACTAACAGAGACCCTCAATAACAGAGACCCTCACTAACAGAAACCCTCACTAACAGAAACCCTCACTAACAGAGACCCTCAATAACAGAGACCCTGAATAACAGAGACCCTCAATAACAGAGACCCTCACTAACAGAGACCCTCACTAACAGAGACCCTCACTAACAGAGACCCTCAATAACAGAAACCCTCACTAACAGAAACCCTCACTAACAGAAACCCTCACTAACAGAAACCCTCACTAACAGAGACCCTCAATAACAGAGACCCTGAATAACAGAGACCCTGAATAACAGAGACCCTCAATAACAGAAACCCTCACTAACAGAAACCCTCACTAACAGAAACCCTCACTAACAGAAACCCTCACTAACAGAGACCCTCAATAACAGAGACCCTGAATAACAGAGACCCTCAATAACAGAGACCCTCACTAACAGAGACCCTCACTAACAGAGACCCTCACTAACAGAGACCCTCAATAACAGAAACCCTCACTAACAGAAACCCTCACTAACAGAAACCCTCACTAACAGAAACCCTCAATAACAGAGACCCTCAATAACAGAGACCCTCAATAACAGAGACCCTCAATAACAGAGACCCTCAATAACAGAGACCCTCACTAACAGAAACCCTCACTAACAGAAACCCTCAATAACAGAGACCCTCAATAACAGAGACCCTCAATAACAGAGACCCTCACTAACAGAAACCCTCACTAACAGAAACCCTCACTAACAGAAACCCTCAATAACAGAGACCCTCAATAACAGAGACCCTCAATAACAGAGACTCTCACTAACAGAAACCCTCAATAACAGAGACTCTCAATAACAGAGACCCTCAATAACAGAGACTCTCAATAACAGAGACCCTCAATAACAGAAACCCTCACTAACAGAAACCCTCACTAACAGACCCTCAATAACAGAGACCCTCAATAATAGAGACCCTCACTAACAGACCCTCAATAACAGAGACCCTCACTAACAGAAACCCTCACTAACAGACCCTCAATAACAGAAACCCTCACTAACAGAAACCCTCACTAACAGACCCTCAATAACAGAGACCCTCAATAATAGAGACCCTCACTAACAGACCCTCAATAACAGAGAGCCTCACTAACAGAAACCCTCAATAACAGACCCTCAATAACAGAAACCCTCACTAACAGAAACCCTCACTAACAGACCCTCAATAACAGAGACCCTCACTAACAGAAACTCTCACTAACAGACCCTCAATAACAGAGACCCTCAATAATAGAGACCCTCACTAAAAGAGACCCTCACTAACAGAGAGCCTCACTAACAGAAACCCTCAATAACAGAGACCCTCACTAACAGAAACCCTCACTAACAGACCCTCACTAACAGAAACCCTCACTAACAGAAACCCTCACTAACAGAAACCCTCAATAACAGAGACCCTCAATAACAGAGACCCTCAATAACAGAGGCTCCCCGGCCCCCTCAGCCTCCCTGCTGTTTACCCGCAGAGGCTCCCCGGCCCCCTCAGCCTCCCTGCTGTTTACCCGCAGAGGCTCCCCGGCCCCCTCAGCCTCCCTGCTGTTTACCCGCAGAGGCTCCCCGGCTCCAGCAGCCGGAGCTCCTGCTCAGCGGCGGTAAACAGTTAGCATGCTAACGGCAGCTAGCTGCGGTAGCGACGGAAACGAAGAAAAACGAAGCGCCGCCGATTCTAAAAGACACCGAAACTCAGAGCGGAATCCATCAAAATGTCTTTTTCTCTCGGAATGTCACCAGAACCGGAACAGAAAACTTCCCTCGGTCCAGAAAAAGCAGGTTAACCGGGAGACCTCCGGAGAGCCGGGGCAGGCCTCCCTTCCTCCGGGGAGCTCCGCTCCTCCTTCCTCCGCCTCACACTCACCCTGGTCGAGGTGATGTCCATCATGACCTCCTGGAAGGCGGCCGTCTCCTCGGCTTGTCGCTGGGTGTGGAGGGCGATCTTCTCGCTAAACTTTCGGGGGTTTGAGGCCCCGGACCCTGAACCCGTGGCGGGTCCTGGTCCGGGTCCTGGTCCGCCTGAACCCGTCGCAGACATCTTTACCGAGCGGACCGGACGACCTGACGTAGTGGAATGATTTCCAGCAGAGAGGGTCTGAGGAACAGATGTCTCACTCTGACGACTATTAGTAGAACCAGAAACTCTCATCAAAATTGATTAAAACTGAGAACAATTGTCATATTTAGTATTAAATTATGAACAAATATTTTATCAAAATAAAAGTCCGGCTCTATTATAGCTTTTATCTTTAACATCTAACATGCTCTAAAATTTCATCCACATTTACAATCTCACTGTCATAATTTTCTAGTTTATCAATATTCAAATGGTTAGTATGGAAGAGGATTAGGGCCACTGAAAAAAATGTAAAAAGTTAACTGATTTTTTAAATTTAGTTTAATTTAATTAAATTAAATTTAATTTAATTCACATAAATAGTAATTTAAAAATACACAAGAACAGTTGCACAGTAAGCAAATCAAACATAAGAAAGAAACGCACATTTATTAACAACAGCAAACCAAGAATAAAGAAATGCACAAATTAGTAGATGGATTCAGAGGCGTTCTAGACGGGGGCCAACAGGGGCCTGTGCCCCTGTAGAACTAGTCCTGGCCCCTTTTATGGCCCCGAAAACATACAATAAAATTAATGCAATTAGCAGATGCAATTCTTTTTTTTTAAATACTTTTTTAGCTCTGTTTTTTGCAGTGTAACTAATTCCATTTCTAATTGATTTAGACTTTTACTGATTTGGAGAATTTAATATTTTGGTTTGGCAATTTATTTGACAGTTTTAGCTTCACCTGTACTGAGAAATGAACACGGTTTTTAGATCAAAAGGGTTCAACCTGGGCTTTATGGCAAAAAAACACCAGCTCCATCCTGCCCCTCTGGTAAATTTCATCGAGACCAAACACTGGGTGGATTTTAAAATATATAAAAAAGGGGAATGTTTTATTATGCTTACAAAATAACAGCATATTACTAAAAAATACGTGAAAAATGTGCGCAAAACGTTATTTGTCAAATTATTTCTGTTTTGTTTTACTATTTATTTGTGTTATTTTGTTGATTCTGAAGAAAGAAAGAAAGAAAGAAAGAAAGAAAGAAAGAAAGAAAGAAAGAAAGAAAGAAAGAAAGAAAGAAAGAAAGAAAGAAAGAAAGAAAGAAAGAAAGACTATATTTTTGCATTTTATTATTGCTTGAACTGAGTGAGCCATCCTGAAGGTTTAGAAAAGCTTTGATGATTGAGAGGCTGCATCATGGCGCCCTCTGCTGGTAATGCGTAGTATCGCAGGGTGAAATCTCAGCATATCTCATCTGTTGATTCCAGAGTCGTGATTAAACCCCAGCAGCGCGGTGAGGGTTGCTTCTGTCTCCACCTGCAGAACCTCCACAGGTCACCTTCTACCTTCTTCTACTAAATCTGGGAGGAAACATTAAAATTAAATGGTTGTGTATGAAGTTTTTCCCAAGCAAAAGCTTTTTTTCTTTTTGATCCTTTTTCTTTTCTCCAGCTTTTTATTCTCATTCCACTGTCACAGAGCAACGAATTTAACTCTCTGCATTTAACTCATCCCCTTGGGCAGCAGTGGGCTGCCACTGTGCAGTGCCCAGGGAGCAGTGTGGGGTTAAGGGTCTTTGCTCAGGGCCCAGAAAGGCAGTGGGACTTGAACTAAGAACCTCAAGATTCCAACCCCTATGCCCTAACCACTAGGACACCATTACCACAAGTAAAGTACATAAAGTTCAATGACGTCCATTGATCTGTTAGATAATTATGCTTTTTTTTTTTTTTTTTTTTTTTTTTTTTTACAGAGTCCTGTCTTGTAATGTGGCAATAAGAATAATTGTGTTGATGCCAAAAAAGCCCAACAGATTTTACTTTCAGGAGTGGAGCAGTACGGCTATCGCCATAGTGTTCCGTTTGATTAATGCATATAAATAGCTTTATTATAATTTTTGTAGGGAGTATTACATATTGTATGGACATCCATATATATATATATATATATATATATATATATATATATATATATATATATATATATATATATATATATATATATATATATATATATATATGGAAAGGGAAAACAGGAAAAAGGAGAAAAGATGAAAGAAAGAGGAGATAAATGTCTTTTGTCTGCTTCATCACCTGCAAAGAGATGTAAATAAAAAGCACAACCAACGGATATAGTATTAGAGATACAATAAAGTAACACCTTGATACTATCACTGAAGTATACGTAGTATTATTTAACCAAGTACCTGTTACCAAACACATGTAGTTATCCAAAGGTAAAATGCTCAACAGTGGTTGTGGAGAGCCGAAGAGGCACCCCCCCAGAGCACCGAGGCCAGCTCCAGGAGACCCAAGACCCCAGATGTCCAAAGGGATCTCCAGAGCAAAGGCGAGAGGCTGACCCAGGAAAACCGCCATCAGACCGCTGCACTGTTGAGAAAACTCTAAATTACGTCACAGACTCTGCATTACATTGATAAAAAATACTGCATATTTAAAGCTCTGAACTTCCATAAATAATAATAAATGCATTTATTTGCACCATGTTTTTTCCTCAAGAATTGTTTCCATTTGATGACTGCAGCACTTTATGGAATGAAAATGTTCATTTACTGTCTGGAAAGCTGTACTAAAAGCAATTTCATTTTTTATACACTGTGTGTACAAAATGACAATAGAAGTTTTCTAATTCAGTAATTAAATATACCATTACATTTCATAGAGCATAATTATTTATCTGTATAATTGAATAATTAAAATAAACTTAAAATTATTATTTAAAAATGTATTTAGAATAAATGTACCCGCTTCACTCTATGTTTATATATATTTAATCTATGTTTTCTAGGGCTTGGAAAGTCTATGGCGGTTACTGAAACTTTCAGGATCCATCTGTTGTAAATCACAGTTCAGCAAGAAATTATTATTTTTTTTAATATTTAATAGAAAACCAAAAACATGAGAATAAGCTGTTACTAATAATAGAAAAACTAGTAATAGAGAAATGAATCAAAAGGAAATTCAAAAATATTTCATTGACCCAACGAGGAAATCAAATACTATCTTCATGTTTTTTAAAGCAGTTGTTGATGCTGTAGGCAGCAGGGATCTTCACGAGTCTGACGTCACTCTGTTGCTTGATGAAGACGATGCTCACTGTTGTCCTCAATCTTCTTCTTTATTAACTGATCTCCAGAGGTTCTAGAAGAATTCCTAGAAAATAACTTTATCAGCCTTTTTGATAAAGCTTATAGTTAGAGTGGCTCAGGTTATCCAATTTGTAAAGGACAATAAAAAATAAAAAAAAACAACTTTGCTTTTCTCAGATTTTATTTAATTTTATTATTTTAAGTATTGTTTTTAAAATTTTCAGATAATGTTTTACAAATTCCATTCTTTTTAAACTGCATTTCACATTTTCTTCACGTTAGAAACAACGTTGTTATCAGTCAAGAGCGATCTCTTGGATTGAGCTTGAAGAGAATATCATCTGTGAAACGCATTTTGAAAAGAAGCAATTCTAAAAACTATCTGAAAATGAGAAATTTGGAAAAATAAAATCTTGAAAAGACTTGACAAATAAAATCTCAGGAAACAAAAAAGTTAATCTCAAAAGTTTTTATGATTACTATCTTCTTTCAAAAGTTTCATTCCAGGATTGTATTTTCTTTCCCAAATTTCCATTTACAGAACACGTTCTTTGCAACGATAATGGAACAAAATTCACTCCATACACGTGGAAGTTCTTTCAGTCATTCGCTCGGATGCTGCGACCCCAGCAGAGGATGGAGGAACGGATCATTCTGTCAACAACAGACCGATCCGATCTGCAACATCTGGCTGCAAAACACACTTTATATCATCAGCGTTCTGACGGCATTTTAGCAAAAGGATTTTAATCAAAAACATAATTAATGTGCAGAAATAAGGAATAGTTGTGCTACAGTCAGAGTTTGAATAAACCAACAGACAAAAGATGAAGAAGGAAATAAAATGGTAAAATCAAACAGAAAACCTTGATGTTTTTAAAAGAGCTTGTTCTAAAATCGATCCACCCTCTGCAGTCTGCACTATGGTCCAACAGGAGGCGCTGTTGTTACAATAAAAAAGGAACCGCCTCTCAGAGTAAAATGATTGGTGGATTTCAGGCTTTTTTTCCCGTTTCTGGATTTAATCCGTTTTTTTCTCGGATTTTCTTGATGATTTTCTCTCCGTTCGGTTCGGATGTGATGCTGCAGATGTTTCCTCCTGTCGTCTCTGAGCTCGATTCGATGCTGCTTCACTTCAATTAGTGGCAGAAGATCCACATCAAACCAAACTCATCATTGATATTCGTTAGTTTGTTTTAAAAAAATAAGGATCTTCTATCAAAGTTAAAGAGGATTAAAGCTTTTATTTCGTCCAGGCCAGATAAAGACAGGAGTTCAGGTTCTGTGTTTAAAGTCTGACTTGAACTTTGACCTCCTGGAGGTGCTGCAGGAGTCGCCATGGTTACAGCTTGATGAAGAGCACCCCGGTCACCAGGGCGAAGCCCAGCAGCATCATGGCCACCTTGGGGATGCGGCCGCGCGCCGAGGCCAGCTCGTGCGGCAGGATCTCCATGAAGGTGATGTAGAAGAAGGTCCCGGCCGCCAGCCCCTCCAGCGTGGACCGGGCCATCTGATGCTGCGGCGACGACTTGGTCTCCGTCAGGCCGATGCCCAGCGCGATGCCCAGCGGCGACATGATGGCGAACATCAGCAGGCAGCCAGTGACCACGGAGCGGCGCAGCCGGCCCTGAGTCAGCGCCGCGCTCAGGCTGAACGAGATGATGCTCTTATGGATCAGCAGGGCCAGGCAGATCTCCAGCACCTCCTCACTCTCCTCCAGCAGCCCCACAGCGAGCCCCTCGAACACCGAGTGCAGAGACAGAGAGAAGACCAGGATGAAGGCCCGCAGCGCCGACTGGGAGCCGAGGTCACCGTGGACCCAGGTCAGGTGGCCGTCGGTTTCTGAGGAGCCTCGGTGGCGGTGGTGGTGAGCGCTCCCGTCGCCCGTCTGGATGCTGGAGTCCGCCATCAGAGCCCGGCGCTCCTCCAGGTGGGAGGACGACTGATCCTTAAAGGCCAGGACGATCTGCTCCAGAACCAGGACCAGGAAGAACCCCATGGCCACGATGAACTCCGGCAGCGGGAACTGGAGCTGGAAACCAGAAAACACCAAACTGGTAAATAAACAAAAATAGATCAAATATTCAGTCATAAATATTTTCATTTTATCTACAACCAAAAAATAATGGATTTTCTGCCGTGAGACGACATTTGTAAACGAAGCTGCTGCTAAATGAGGAGCAGCTGTTCTTCTCTGTGAGGAATGAGAAGGAAAAGACCAGGAGGGTCAAAGGTGAAGGAGGCCACCGCGATGAGGAAGATGATGTTAGCATGAGAGATGAAGATGAGAAGATGTCAGACTCCGAGAGAGAAGAAGGAGATGATGCAGAGAATCCAGGCTTCAACCTGAACCACCTGCTTTTCATTAATACTGGGAAGAAACTAGAGCAGAGAAATTAGATTTAATTTAACCTGCCTAAAGCCTGAAATCAGTGCTGTGTACTTTTTCTCAATTTGTCTCCTGTATTTATTTATTTCATTTAACACTTTCATTTTGATTAATTCATAAAATACCTATTAATACAAATATTTCACGCCATTAACAGCAGTTTTTTATAGATGTGCTAAAGTCCGACAGGCAGGGCTAACGTTAGCGACTCTTGGATCCGTGCCGCTCCATCAGCAGACTTGAAAGCTGAGTTCTGTGCTTTTAGCGATTTCCGAACCTCCGCAGTCATCCAGGGTTGCTGCTCTACGCGGGCGGTGATGTTCCATGTGATGCTGATGTCCTCAATGCATTTTGTTATGTATTCTGACAGTCATGGCAAATTCATCTAGATTTATATTGCTGTCACATACTGCTGCGTCTTTGATGTTCCAGTTGGAGCAGTTGAAACAGTCTTGGAGTTTCTCCATGGAACCCTTAGACCACACTCTGATTTCTTTAACTGTTGGTTTAGCCCTGATTAGCTGGGGCCTGTATGCCGCAATTACCTAGCCTCGTGAGACCATCCTGATCTCGCGAGCTTTCAAGGTTTCACTAGCAGATCAGTCTGGCTACTTTCTGTTAAAGAAAATGTGGAGCCGTTCACCAAACGAATGTCCAATCAGCGTTGGCTTTGAGGCGGGTTGAGGTGTGACGCAACGAGAAGCGCGACAGTTCAGTCTAAAGAACATGGCGGCTTCAGCCGATGAAACTAGCGTTAGCGTGGCTATCGAGCAAGTTTTATGGGAATTACAGAGTATTTCTTCACTGAAAGAAGAGCAAAACACTGCTCTGGAGGCTTTTCTCAGAGGAAAAGATGTTTTTGCTCTTCTCCCGACTGGTTTCAGCAAGAGTTTGATCTATCAATTGGCTCCTCTTCGTCGTCGCTCTGTTAGTACGTCATATGCTTCGCTGATCTGATTTATTTGGCCCGTCTATCACCAACATAGGCCAATCAGCTAACCAGTATTTTCGCCCCTTCCCAAAATTACTTCAACGGAAGGTTTCCAGATGGATATGCGGAGCAAATCCATCTGGCGGAGTCAGGTTAATGTATTGCTGCATCTTTGATGTTCCAGTCGGAGCATTCGAAACAGTCTTGGAGTTTCTCCATGACACCCTTAGACCACACTCTGATTTCTTTAACTGTTGGTTTAGCCCTGATTAGCTGGGGCCTGTTTGCAGGAATTACCATGACAGAAAGTTTATCTGATGACCCGAGGTGGGGGCGGGGGGGGCTGCTCTAAAGGCATCTTTAATGTTAGAGTAAACCAGGTCTAAAGTGTTTTCATCCCAAGTTAAAAGTCCACATGTTGGTAGAAATGAGGGAGCACAGTGTTCGAGTTAGTCTGGTTTAAATCCCCAGCAGTGATGAAACTCAGTTAACTGACCGTTCGGACAGATGATCACTACTTTTCACTCCCCGTCGGTCATCTGACTCCGCCTCCTTGCAAGCTGTAAAAAGTATTGTAAAAATACTCCTTAAAGTTTATGTTGTTTTCAAATTGTTACTCGAGTACATGTAACTAGTTACTACACTGCTAACGAAAAAGTAACTAAGTACATTTTGCTTGCAGTTAAGGTAATTTCTCCATTATTTGAGTAACATGTGTTCCAAAGATAGGGCTGAATAATTTTGCCTAAAATCTAAATTGCGATTATTTTTAACCGAAAATGCGATTTTACTTCCGTTTTCCTTTGCAATAACTCTGAGCTTGTAGATGTTTCACCTCCAGAATTTCGGTTTTGCAATGCTTGCTTTCCCAGAATCCATTGCTGTAGGACTTTAAATGTTTACTTCTACATCCATGCGTGGATCTGCTGCTAACTGATAAAACTCTCTAACTTTCTGTGTGCGACAAACTCACTTCAAGCATTTAATCACCACCTAAAGGGCTGGAGGGAAAAAATTAGTGTTTTACTCTTGTTAATTATAGTGTGACTATATATCTATACTATCTATATATCTAACTATAGATCTATAGCGGAGGTCACGGATTAGCGGACCGTTAGCGGACCTGCTAGCTAATCCAACCCAACCTGATTTAAAACATTTATAAATTACTTCATGTTGTCCAACGACAGTATCTAATTTCACTTGTGCCGCATACTTTATTTTTTTTTTCTTTCATTTTTTCAAGTTTTATAAAACAAAAGCAGGTTATATTTTTCTAGATCAAAGGTCAGGGATTAGCGGACCGGATCCGGACCCAACCTGATTTAAAACATTTATAAATGACTGCATGTTGTCTGATGGCAGTGTCTAATTTCACTTGCTCCTTTTCTCCTGTTAATACGGTAAAGCCCTGGGGAGCGCCCGGCTCCAGGCTGCACGTGATCCAAATGAGCCAATGAGCTGTCAGTCTGGGTTGCTGCTGCTGCTACTTTTAGACACAGCAGGCAAACCTGTGGCAAGCCGGGCGATGGGAAAGAAGGAGAAGACCATGAGAAAAAGAGAGCAGAGAAAGTGTGGACTGCTGGAAGAACTGCGGTGAACTGGTGAAAGAAAAGTGAAATGGCGTGCTCAAAGATGACCCTGCACATTTAGAGGATGTTTGGCTCAACCTGCTGCTGTGAAGCAAACAATCAGTTCAGGGGTTTGAGAAAATATGAGAGTCAGGAAACTGTCTATAAACGAAACTGAACGATTGTTATTCTCTACTTCAAAAATTCTATTCTTTTTTCTATATATTGTTTTATTTAAAAAGTCAGTTTATAACATTGATGCATAAACACCTCTTTTTATTTCAGTGTTAAATTCTGTTTAAAGTAACAGATTATAATTAAAAATGTCTCTGGACCGTTTCTGGTTGATGATTTTCTATATTTGGATCCTGGTGAGTTTTAATTGGTTAATCCTGATCTATAGTGAATAAAAATCAGGGCCTCTAATATTATTTGACAATTGTGTTTTGTTAAATTGCAAATCCTATAAAGTGCCCAGCCCTAATCTAAGATATTCTACTTTTTAAAAAACATTTATTTTTGCAATCTTTCTACCTCGGCTTAGCACTAAGTATTATACCCCCCCCCCCACCCCACCCTGTAATAAACACCATTAAGGATATTAATAGAGTTCTGATTACTAATTGATCTCAGTTAATCTGCAGCTTAAATTAGTTCCTTTTTCGTAGAGTAGAAATGATCCAGTAGTTATTTCCTGGATGACAGGTTGGATCCATTAAGTTCTGCAGAACCTGGCAAATTTCTGGACTTTGACAGGGGTCAGATGTTTCTCTCCGCTGTTTGAACATGTGACGTGCGTGTGCCGCTCGTACTTTGATCCCAGCGCTGGTGAAGGCCTCGCCGATGCTCTGCAGGTAGTCTGGCAGCAGGTCCAGCAGGCAGGTGGCCAGGAAGACGCCTCCAGAGAAGCAGCTGATCCAGCTGAGCAAGCGGCGGCGGGAGTCTGCAAAACACACCGGAAACGGTCTCAGCGTTACTTTTCTGGTTCTGTGGCTCCCTTAAGGTCCTGCACCTGGATGTACCTGGGTCTACGCTGCAGCGGCCGCCTCCTCCCCGGATGATGCAGAGAGGAGCGAACCCGAACAGCAGAGTGACGGACAGCAGGACCACCAGCGCTCCCAGTTTGATCTCCAGAGCCGGAACCTCTGCTGGGTTGACCCGGAGCGCCGACGGTTCCCGTCCATCTGGGAGGAGGAGGGAGGACATCTCTGCACCTCCTCAGGGTCCAAAGCAGGAGGAATCAATCACAGAATTGGAGTCTGAAGACAGGGGCGGATTTAGGAAATGTGGGGCCCTAAGCAAAGACAACCCATCAAACAGCCCCATTCTACAGATAGAGAAATGTTAATAGAACAGACATCCATTATCTGTTCTAGGTTGTGTCCCTCTCTTCTTGTCCCTTTTCTTCTTGTTTTCCTCTCTATGTTTTGTACTCAGCTGACTTTTCATGCTGTCTCTAAAGGAATGAAAGATTTTTTCCAAGCACTAAGCTCACTTAGCTGATTGCTCCTTCCTGTGTTTCCAAAAAGGCCAAAGTAAATAACCCAGTCCTTCTTTTCACTGTAGACAAGCCATGATCTGCTTATCTGTTCTCCATTTTTCATTTGGATGAAATAATAGCTGCATGAATCATGACAGCAGACAAGATAGAGGAGAGCAGGAGGCGGGGTTACCAATCTACTCGCTCTGGAGAGCAGAGTTCGCTGCTTTTAGATGTTGTCTCCAAAGTCTCCAGTAGCAGAAAAAAGTCTCTAGATTTGGCGCTAGGAGCTTTTTAGAAATCAAAGTGCTAGAGGGGTCTGAAAAGTGGCTAAATATAGCGACTAAAGCGCTAAGTTGGCAACACTGCTCTTTGCATGGTTTGTTTTCAAATGGTTTGCTGCTGTCTGTTTGGACCTTTCTGAACATGTGCAGCAAATGGACTGATCCAATATGGTGGACACTGAAGGGGGGGGCTGAGACACACTTAATATTATCAGCGTTCTGATGGCATTTTAGCAAAAGGATTTTTATCTAAAACATAATTAATGTTCACAAATAAGGAATAGTTGTATAAACCATACATGTAAACACAGTTTTATGGGGCCCCCAGGAGCTTGGGGCACTAGGCAGCTGTCTAGTGTTGCCTGATGGTAAATCCGCCCCTGTCTAAAGAAGAAAGAAGGGATGAACTATGATCCCAGATGATTCTGGGAGATGTTTCTGTTTTTTCTTTGACTTTTAATAAATATCAGAACATAAACTCATCCCGTTTCATCAGCTTGGATCCACATTTATCTGCATCTCAGAAACTTTCCAGAACCAGAATGGTGGATCCAGATCTGGGAACTAGAGCCGTAAAACAACAGAGAAAAAAGTTCTGCCTCAAACAGAAGTTTAGATCTACTCACGGGATCTCAGGTTTCCTTCTCATCAATCTGTTTCCAGCCGGATTGAAAGAACCGAACCAGAACTGTTTACCGCACGGTCCAAAATTCACGCGACAGAGAATCAAACCCGAACCTGCCGAATTTCCCTGAAGCTGGTTGGGATCGGTCACGTGACCCACCGGATCCCGGCTGCTCCGGGCAGGGAATGTTCTTGTGACGTCAGACAGTCCGGGAAGTTCTGACTCAGTTCCCATCAGCTGATCCCGCCTCATTGTGGAGCTGGAAAACACCCGCAACAGCACCGCAACACACTTCCGGTTTTCAACTTCAAAGTAAACCGAACACGTTTGATTTTTTGATTTTTTTATTTTTTTTGGCAGTTCAAATTATATCATTTATATGGAAGAGGATTAGGACCACTGGGAAAAAAAGATAACATGTTTTTAAATATTATTTCCGATTAATATGAATTCTGACAGCTAGCAAACATGTTAGCATCAAGCTGTAGCCATGTCTTTTTTAGAGACTAGCTCTCTGGTTTTAATTACCTTCTACTCTTCCATTAATGAAATAGCATCAGCAGGGACCCTCAGGGACCTAAAAAGTCTCCTAATTCCATCATTTTCCACCAAAGTGTTCCTGTTTCTCCAAAACAGCTCACATCTTTGTCAGTGAAGCTGAGAGCTCCATGTCTCTGCCTTCATGATGCCCATCTACATTAAGATCCACAATTCTGAGATTAAAGTCAGAATTCTGAATTTTTTCCCATATTAACCTGAAATATTTAAAAATCTGTTAACTTTTTTTTTTTTTTCCCAGTGGTCCTAATCCTCTTCTATACATATAGTATTTGTATGTTCTGATGAAAATGAAAAAGAGAGATCATATCTCTCCTATCCTGGCTTCTCTTCGTTGGCTTCCTGTTAAATCCAGAATAGAATTTAAAATCCTCCTTCTGGATCTGATTGTTCCTTACAGTTGTAGCCATTCAACATTCCCCAACATTCCTTTATAATTCGTTTTCAAACATCAATCTTTGCACTAAAATATTCTGTCATGATTTGAGGACATTAAGATCTAAAGAGAAGCATCACCTCCTGGTCGGAGCCTGTAATTCAATAAAAGGGTGGAGTCCAGGGGCGTTGCTAGGCACAAAGCTTTACTGGGGCACTGGCCCCCTATCGCATATGCCCCTCCTTCCATGCGCAAATACAGACAAGCACACCGCCCCACCCTGATAAATTCCTACCAAAATTACCAGTTGAGATATTAATGAGTGTAAGAGCATATTTGTTTTAACAAACATGAACATTTTTAATATTGCAGCTATAAAAAATAAGACTTTACCAACTTTAAAAATAAAAAGTTTCCTTATACACATTCTGAAGTAATCATTAATTCCTAGGTTTCAGAGTTTTAGTTCAGGGGAAAGTTTTTCTTTTATTTTTTGAGCATTAAAGTTTACCTCCTATTTTTCATTTTTGCAAAGCGGTCAATCACTAGACTGTGACTCAGCTTAGAAAGTTCTTCCTTTTCAACTGATAAAATAGCAAGATGATGGAGCTTGTCTTGTCCCATTGTGCACCTCAGCCAAGTGTGGAGCCTTCTCAACACACTGAATGAGCTTTCACAACTACAGCTGTAGACTGGGATGGTGATGGAGATCTGGATGACCTTCGTTAGTGTTGGTAACATGATGTTATCAAGCAAGTTGAAAACACTGCATATCCTTGATGACAAGGATTTCTTTTTCAACCAGGAAAAGCTCAAACCATTTTGAATTAAATGAAGGTTTTTTTTACTCCAAATTTGTCCTGGGGATTGTGGGACAACTTCACTTGTTTAGGACCATCATGCTTTCCCCCTAAGTCACTAATGTCCCCTTCTTGTTTGTGGAAGCTGGTTGTTGCTCCCTCATCACCTTCATGGTCCTGTCTCTCCTCTGTCTCTTGCCTGTCAGTCTCGCCTCCTCCTCCCTTTCCTACTCCAGCACCTTCATTCTCATTCTCTACAGCAAACATTAAAAAACTTAAATTTATAATTATGTAAATATCTATCATATTGCTTATAATGTTCCTAATGTAACTAGTTAGCTTAAATCACTAATTCATTACGGGACCTCACCTCCCTCTCTCTCATCTTGTTTACTGCTTCCCTGTCTCTGCTTCGTGTGAGGAGTTTCCTGATATCCATCTACAAACCAATGCAGTAATTTTCAGTTAGTAGCCTATAAATCATGTGGTTTCACTGGGAAAATAATAAAATTGACAGGTAAGAAACGTTACCAGAACAACGTTTCTTACCTGTCAATAAAAATAAAAATAAATGCGTCACGGCCGCACGGTGTCCCATCCAACTTAGTTGAGAGCAGCGTGTTAGTTTACCTGCAGTTCATGCACTGACATGCGCTGACGTGGGGGCGCTAATACATCCTCAATTTGGAGTTAACACACACTTGCTACGCATTTGAGTAGAAATATGCGTCTCCTTCTGTTGGAATTATCTAAATTGATGCATTGAAAAAATGTAATACTGTTGCAAATATTCATGAGATTTATACTGGGGCACAGCTCAATTATACTGGGGCACGTGCCCCAGTAAATGGGGTCTGGCGACGCCGATGGTGGAGTCAATGTAAAAAAATATGTTGGGTTCATGGAGGGGATTTAGCTGGGAGTTGGAGGGAAGTGGGCTCCCCTTCAGCTGGCATTTGACTTGGAAGGGCCTTTCTGAATGGCTGCTACTGTATGTTCCTATCAGAGCACTTCGCTCTCAATCTGCAGGTTTACTAGTGGTTCCTAGAATTTCTAAAAGTAGAATGGGAGGCAGATCTTTTAGTTCTCAGGCTCCTCTCCTGTGGAACCAACTACCAGTTTTAGTCCGTGAGGCAGACACCCTGTCTACTTTTAAGGCTAGGCTTAAAACTTTCCTTTTTGATAAAGCTTCTAGTTAGAGTGGCTCAGGTTATCCTGAGCTATCTCTATAGTTCTGCTGCTATAGGCTTAGACTGCTGGAGGACATAGGGACACCGTTTCATCTGTTTTATTCTACCTTTTCTCTCCAATTCTGTATTTTTTTAGTTCAACTCCTTACTTCCCCTGCTTTCTTTCATCACCTTAGAGATAAAAAACTATTCTGCGCTGGTCTTCTTAATGTCTCCTCTCAGGAACAAATGTTATAAAAATCTGAGAAGAGAGCCAATCAGGAAGCCCCCTGAGCTGACAGTGACCACCTCATCCTGACGGAGGGGTTTGATGTGATTGCTCAGAAAAGCTGAGAGAAACCGGCTCTAAATGAACCAAACATGGATGTAACTGGTCTGTTTGTAAAGCTACGGCAGCCTGTGAGGACAAATTGCTCTGAGCTTAGATGCTCCATCAGACCTCAGCTGTGTTTATAGGTTTGGCGTCTGATCCAGTCTGATGAACAGGATCTAGTGTCTGTTAAAGCTGTTCATTTGGTGAGATGCTTCAATTGTAAATTTTCTACTTCTATTAATTTTTTTTCAAGACCAAAATACTTTAAACATTGTTGACTGACATTAAGCGGAAGATAAATAAAGTAAAGACTATATTGGATTTTTTTTTTTTTCCCTCTCCTGCTTTTATTTTTAAAATCCGGCCTGGTTTCCGGTGTAGCTCAGACTAACTTCCCTGAGCTGCAGCCTGGAGGAGGAGTACTGGAACAGCAGGAGTCACTGTTCATCACTCATTAACCGGAAAGGTCAAACCTGGCAGCCCAACAGGAGTCCCTATGTATGCAGAGCCCAAATAAATTATTAGACTTGCATGTCAAATATCCATAAAATGAATAAAGTTTCCATGAAATAACTCTGATTTAAAAATTATGTATTTATTTATTCATCTAATACATGAATCTCAGATTTTATATCTACCATTAAATCATAACATTTCT